CCATTGCAGTAATCTACTTGAGAATCAAGGGACAGTTTAAGCGCGAGCCTAAAGACCATATGGGTTCCTCAAGTGGCCAGAACCTGACGGTAAATCCTTCGACAGACTTGTTGGTAACTGCACAGTATGCACCTGTTTCGGAAGTGGTGTATGAACGAACGAAATGCGACGATCCTGAGCAGAGCAAGCTGATGCCGCAAGGAAACAAGGAAATTAGGTAAAATCACCACATTCTACTTGCATGTGAAGCATGCGAAAAATCACGCTTTTTTGCTATTGCAGTAACGAAGACGCCGACCGAATGGTGGAAAACGACCCACGAATCGTCTTGCGGCCTCTCAACGCTGCAATGAACGAGGAAGTTTAAGCTGAATGGTTCAAAGTTCAAAAAGTCCCTCTTTGGAACCTTTATATAGACCCAAAGCGCACCAGCATGGTAAATATTTGCCCACCTAAGAAACTACTCCTGTCCTACTTCGTGCCGAGCAGGTAAACAGATTGAGGAATTCTTACTGTTGATTGCAGATATTTGCGATTTCGCGCTGTCCTTTCACTAAAATTGTTTAAACAAGCTCTAAACCTCATTGCATACGCAAGTAGCATCTGCTGAACTTAATCACTTAGTGACTCTATACTTTTGAAGCTTTCAGCTTGCGAAAGTTTTCAAACCACCCAATTGTAGTCAATTGTAAAAGTTCCTTTATAGGACTTTTATCGCACTGCGCTCCTGGAACAATATCTTTAAAATCTCTAAATGAGTGGAACAAGGGTAAGCAGTAAATAGCTGCATAGTGGTTCTTGTTCAACTCATTGCAAAGGTTCCCGAATTGTATCGCTGCGCCCAATTTAATGGGATATATCTATACTACTCTAAGTACCCTTAATAATAAAATAAGAAGTTATTTATTTAACGTTATAGTAATATGCATTAGCGACTACTTTGGTCTACGAGTGATTCGGCAAGCTTGTTTTCGATGGCAACAAACGCTGATCAGATTGGTTTTTTTATGTCTTATTAAAAACTTAAGTTACTTTATGCAGCATTTTACAATATTGGTAATCAGTTGTTGTTTTAGCACTTAGAAGATGCGTTGAGATTGTTTTTTTTAACTTTATATACTGTAATTTATTGTCAAGGTTTAATTGATAAAGTACGTATTTTTTTATCACGCACTGCAGGTCTTATTGCTTTCAACACCTTAAAGGCAGTCCTTTCCTGTGTCTAATTCAAGCATTAAAAGGGAAATGAGACACTATATGTATTTAAAAAACCCATTTTTATATTACATTTTGAAGACTACGTGCGATACACTTATATCCTATCATATGACTCGGCAGTGGCCACTGTGAAGGGCCGACATCCACTCAAAACATAGACTAATCCATCCTAAAATTTCAACAAATTCACCGTTAACGAGACACTTTTCCAAACCATCTATGCGGCCACCAATCAAAAAAGCTCTTACTTTAACAAGTCCGGGTATGGAGGCCCAAAAGTCGAAGTTGGGTATCACTTCCACTCCTCTGGCTCCGCGAGCGAAATACATAATCAATCCGCCTCCAACAAAGTAAGTCAAGGCGGCCACAAAAAATATCACGCAAAAAATCGATCCAGTGCTCAGCTCATGGTGAGCGATCTGCTGAATGCACACCAAGGGCGAGTACAGAATCAACACCTACAAACTCCAGATTAAGATTGGAACTGCGTCTTTAACGTGAACTTACATCCGAAACAGTGTTTAGCACTTTCAAGTCGGTTCTGTTGTAGCTGCTGCAAGCCAGCTGGATTGTGGGGGAGCTTCTAAACAACCAAACACCAGTGAAGAGCAATTTTCGACTGATTTCAATTAACTTACTTAGTAGGCGGTTGGCTGCCTTTGAATACGACTTGATACTCATTGGTATGCGAATTCGCATTGGGCAACAAGTCGAAGACTATGTCTTTGGCATCTCCAATGGATGTACAAGTGTCTTTCACAAAGAAAGTAGTAGCATTCACTTGAGTCTCTATGTGTCTTTCGCACTTGACGAGCTAAAATGATTAATAAACAGTTACTTTGATCCCAAAAGATGCTAATTGGAAAAATCATTCCCTGAGCTACGTTCTAGCTAACAAATCTCCGGGTGCTTCACGTTTAAAACTATCGAATCTTCCAAACACTTCAAATTACACTTTACTATTTTGCTTTAGTCAATTATAACTAAAAAACGGTTGAAAATCAGTAAAATCAATACATTTTCTCCGAGCGAGCGTCTCAAGGACTATAATTCCCTAATCTTGAACCTTCTACCAAAATGCATTGGGAGCAACCACTGGATTGAATATGCACTTACTGAGACCCCTTTTAGCGTAGTGTTTGTGAACAGCTGATAGTCTGTAGACTTGAATTCTCTGTCCTGGCATCCAGCGAAGAAGTAAGAAAAGTTTCCAAGACGATCTTCCAGGAAAACTGGTCCTGAACTCACTTGCGATATATCGATAAAGAAATAATCATCCAGAGAACACAAGCAGGGATCTGCCTTCAGGCATTTGTTGGCGCCAGAACTACTCACTACTAAGAGGGTTAGCGATATTAATAAACAATAGGAAATGCTCGCCATTGCGTGGAAAATATCATTATATTTATTATCATATATTTAGAAACAATGATAATTGCGAGGTTATGTCGCTGACAAGTCCTGATACTTTCAAGCGGCGCTGCCAAGAGTGGCGCAATAATACTTTAATTTTGTCTGTCTTGCCCTGAACAGTAATTTTTTAAAAATATTTCCTCCATGTATTGCTGTGTTTTAAGCTGCGCTATTGCCCGAAATTTTAAAAACCGATTTTTCCAGCAGCAAAAATTGTAGTTTTGGCGCAAAATGAAATGCAACCGGGCATTTGAACTGACACCGACATTTGACTAGTGTCAAAACTTCTCAGGGGAGATTTAACTTTGTTAAAATTGCTCCTCTTTTTCTATCTTAATAGCATTTTTCCAGTTTTACAGCAATTTGCAGGAAGAAAAACATTTAATAGTGCCATCAAACATGTGCTAAATGTATTCGGAACCATTCCACCGCATAAAAAAATGGACAGGGTACCTTGTCAAGTTTCCATTTTTTATATAGAAATGTACAGTATTTTTTGTGCTAGGGGACCCCTTTGAGATCAAATACTGAGAAAATAATTGGCAGTAAGTATGTTTTCCAGACACACAATCAGATCAAGGCTACAAGTCGTCGAGAAATGCATGTGTTTATTTTCATAAGGCACCCAGCAAGTTTAGACTTGCAATTTCCTGCGGTGCGTTGTTCCTCCTGTTTATCAAGTACAATTTATGAATTGAGTGCATATTTTAGTTGGCTACTCACACTCAGTTGATTTCTGGTTGTTTAAAGGTATGTGGATACGTTGAAAGGCCAATGTTTGGAATCCTAATTCAAATGTAGATTCAGTCGTTTTAAAACCACCCCAGTTATGTAGCGCCTCAAAAGACTACCTGTTTAACTTCTACTATGCAGCCAACTAATAACGCATTTATCTTGTTTAGTCTATGATCAGCTAATGACAGTCTTATATATTAGGGCAATGCAAAGGACATTAAGAGAGCAGCCTGAAAGGATAGGTTTGGGGTCATCCAATGGGAAATTGTTTGAATTGCTGCAAGGAGCCAGAACAGTTGGCATCAGATTCTGTTGCCCCAAATTGTAACAAAGAAGGTAGGTCAGCCTGTAAGTGAAAAGCTTGACTAATCGACATTGCGTGCTGTTTTAGAGATGCCAGAAGTTCGATTGTACGCAGCTCCCAGTCATGTACCTGCCTCCTCAGCTCCACTGGACACACTTCTAAGCAACGGTAAGAAGGCGCTAAAATCTAAGGCCTGCAAACTAAATCTAGGGTTACTTCCGTGTAGGAAATCACTTGGGTACACCGACCGAAAGTGCATCTGCAACAGCAATAAATCGATTTTACCAGCCAAGTAGAAGAGCTACCTCAAGATCGGCCCCTACAATGGGTGTCAGTGATAGCAAACCGTCAGATCTGAAGGTAAGACGCACAGCAATAAGAAAACCGATAATTCGGTACTAAATAGCATTTCCAATTAGGTAAATGGCCTTTTCGAGCACTACAAGGATGATCAGGAAGACGCCATTCTGGCCGAAGGCATCGACCAGTTCTGCAAGGATTTGACAATTCTGCCGGACGATTTCAAAATCCTGATTCTAGCCTGGAAACTGAACGCCGAGCAAATGTGCAGATTTAGCCGAGCGGAATTTGTAAATGGGCTGAAATCCATAAAATGTGACTCGATCAAATCCATACAGAGCCGTCTGCCCGAATTAGTTCAAGAAGTCGAAGAAAGCGACGAGTTATACAAGGACCTCTATAGGTGAGTGCCAGTTAGCTCCTGTTTGGAAGCATTTCTTCCCAAAGAAACCCGAGAAAATATACAGGATCAGTTTTTTTTATGTATATCTATAAATATTCAATGGATTCTAATCAAACACCCGCTCCATTATCAACAATGGAAATGGCAGAATTTATCTCTTGTGAGGAAAGAAGTAGTTTGATGCGTATCTATTAAATTAAAAAATTAGCCCTGACCGCCAACATCATAAAGCATTTGAAATCAAAATAAAGTTCTCACTGATTAATCCATTTTGAGTAGGTTTGCGTTCAAGTTTGGCCTGGACATCCAAATAGGTCAACGAATATTACCGACTAGCATGGCGATTGTGCTCTGGAAGTTAGTGTTTACCATTCGAGAGCCCCCCATCCTAAACCGATGGCTGAATTTCCTCGAAACCCATCCATTGATCCGAGGCATCCCGAAGGATACATGGAACATGTTCCTGAACTTTTCAGACCATGTGGGCAGTGATCTAAGTTGTTACGATGATAATGAGGCCTGGCCGAGTTTGTTTGACGATTTTGTCGAGTTTGAAAACGACCAGGCCAACCAGAATATATCTAAGGATTTGGATAAAGAATGTGATGAATTTTTAATTAAGGATGGCTAGCTAATCGTTTATTGACTGACTGATAAATATTTGTGCGATATGTGTGTCTTTCTAGGTGCAAGGCATATAAGGGATGCGCTGCAACGAGTTTCGTAAAATATTCTGTTTTGTTTTCTCGGGCCAAAAATGTTCACTTTTTCTCATCAGGAGCAAACCGCGGTGTCAAACTGCAACATACAGTGCAATATTAAATTATTTTGTATTTATTTGACGGTTGCGCTGGAAAATCCTTTACTGTTGTAGCCTTACGTCCTTAGGTGTAAAGAAGTACCTACTACTAATACCCAAAATGTGAAGTATTGTAAAAATCGTGATTGCCTGTATTTTTTCGGTGTTTTGAGTCTGGTGGTTGTACAAAATATACATAGAAACTGACGCGGATAATTCTATGAAAACTACACCTATACGAAACATAAAAAAAGTACATTTGCTTTTACTTAAAATAACTCTGGGTATTTTGTTCAAATACCCTGACTAATAGTAACTACTGGATGGATATTTATACAACGACTAAAAACTCTTCTTTTGAGGGTTTTCATATAATTATTGGCCGAAGTTACTACGGTTAAAATAGCTATTACTGGGTGCCACTGGGGCATCATTTAAGTAAGTTTACCCAGGAGTAAACCATAATTTAAAACTTCTGTTCATGTACTTTAAAGTGAAAGCTTGCATTCGAAATAAGTTGTATAGTTTCTCAGTTAATGTAAATTTAGTTAGTAAATTAATGTCTTAATTTATGTTGTAGTGAGTATATTAAAATGTGTTGACAGAGGACCGTGACGCTCATATCAAAATCGTGTATTATTTATAACTGTGTGGATGAACATGTGATGGGTAGGTAAAGCCCAAAGTCCGTTGAGTAAGTTAAATTTATTAGAAACACAAGTAAATAAATTAGCATTTAAGGGATTCGAGGAATCTTTCCAGTTGCGAAACATTGCACTTTTTAAAATGCTGAAATTTACATTAATTCTTTGCACCCTAATAATTATAAATAGTAGAGAATCAGATGAAACTCACGACAGTACAAGTAGGTCTATTTTTCTTCGCACCATTCGTTCTCTTTGCGCACTTGATCCTCTTCGGAGGCAGTGAAGTCATTCTTAATGTTGAACGTTTTACGAATCTCTTCCGGTGCTTTGCCTTTGATCATGTTGGCCACTGTTTTGCAAGTGACATCCAGCAAGCCCTTAATATCCAAGTAGTTTGCAGCTAATATTAGCTCAAATAAAGTACCCTGATCAACTTTTAAGAAGTCCGCATCCCATGACGAGATATCGTCTGTTCGCTTTTCTATAAAAAAAATTATTTTTATTACGCACTACTTCGTACTCAAAACAGAAAAAATCGTACTCTGCTGTCTTGGCACTTGTGCCTATAATGTACTGCCCTGAGGAAGACTAGAAAAACGGGCGACATGTGAGGAAACAGCTTTTGTTAATTACTTATCACAGTCCCAAGAAAAGATTGTTGCCCCAACTTACCCTTATTTTCGTCATCTTCTGGCGGTGGCGGGTCGTCCTTGTGGAAAGTGGCCCATTGCAGGACTTTGCGTAGAATGGCCGAGTTCACGTTTGGCAGAGGAACCACTTCTTCTTCTTCATCATCCATACCAAGATCTTCCAACATGGTCTTAATAGTCACGGAGCATTTTGCAATCTCTACGTCCACATCGAATGTCTCCCCATCTGAAGATTGGAGTTTAATCTTGGGCATCTAAAAGCAGATCAGAGAAGAGATGTTGAAGTCTTTCATCAATTACTGGGTAACGAAATCAATGACCATGACGAAGAACCGGCCAAAGAGACGATGTGAACTAACTTTGAAGCTTTTAGCAGTAAACAGATGAAATTCCAACCGAAACATAAACACCGCAAAAGACATAAAGCAGTGGTGGTCGGGCTAAATCCCAAGCAGTGGGAAACTATTTTAGAAAACATTGAAAACCGGAAGTGTATGTAGTTGAAACCTGCACGCTTGGAAATTGATTGAAACAGGAAGTTGTTCTACAAGGCCTTTGCTACCAACAACAGGACGTCTAACAGGACGATGGTTTTATACCTAGAACCCAACACCGGAGTCTTGCATAGCGATGGCTCACTAGCAAATTCTACTTACTTTGCAGTCGAACTTTTAAGGTCCTTTAAACTCTCGTGAACTTTGGCTAAATTTTTTTCTCGCTTTTGCTAAAATTCTATTGATGATGGCAAAATGACAACTGACATTTAACACTAGAAAAGAGGCATTGCGATTGACAAGAGATAGAGAGCGCCACCAGCTGGGCGCAGTTGCCTTTTTGTCACAAGTCCAGATGTAATAGTTGATTCTGCACCCAAACACTTATCCTGCATTGAGGAAAAACTTGTAGAAATTGGGTAATTCAAGTACTTTATTTTGGTGCGCTCAAGTTCGAATAAAGTGTATTAGGCGCAGTTTTGCATAGGAAAGCGGCAACTCTGTTCAGAAAGTTTCCATGCGGCATTGTCGAACTCAGATATTTTTCCCAGCTTTTGCATTCATTGGCTCCATAGTCAAGCCACCAGGCTCTAGCCATTTGGCGAATGTGGCATTATTGCCCTAGTGGAAAATTTCGGAGTTTGTCGCGTCTGCGCAGTACAGGGAAAATCCAGTTTTGATCAAAGAAGGCAGATGTGGATGGGTGGCAGAAAACGCAATATTTTCTAATCGACATTTTTGGTGGA